ATGGGAATGGGGATGGGAATGGGGATGGGGAATGGGGAATGGGGAATGGGGAATGGGGATGGAAATGGGGAATGGGGAATGGGAAACGGGAACAGGAATGGGACAAGGGGAACGGGAATGGGGAATGGGGAATGGGGAAGGGGAAGGGGAATGGGAAATGGGGAACGGGAACAGGAATGGGAATGAGAATGGGGAATGGGGATGGGAAATGGGGAATGGGAACAGGAATGGGAAATGGAAATGGGAAATGGGGAACGGCAATGGGGAACAGGAAATGGGAATGAGACAAGAGGAAACAGGAATGGGAAACGGGAACGGGAATGGGGAATGGAAATGGAAAATGGGAATGAGCCAAGGGGAAACAGGAAAGGGAAATGGGAACAGGAATGGGAAATGGGAGTGAGCCAAGGGGAAAGAGGAATGGGAAATGGGAACAGGAAAGGGAAATGGGAACGGGAATGGGGAATGGGGAATGGGAATGTGGAACAGGAATGGGAAACGGGAATGAGCCTGGGGGATTTGGGAATGAACTGGGTGGAAATGGGAATGAGCCAATGGGATCAGGAATGAACCAGCAGGATCCAGAGCATTCCCAGATGCCCACCCGGGCCCCTCCAGCCCTGCACTTCCCTGTCCTTGGGTTGGTTCGTTTCCCACAGGATTCTCTGCCCTTTTTCCTCAAAAACAGCACAAAAAAACCCCAACCAGCCTGGGGTTGGTTCCCAATCCCAACTAAACCAGTACAAGCCTCCATCCTCATCCTCCTCATCCCTAGAGCCTCCATCCTCATCCTCCCTTTCCCTGGAGTCTTCATCCTCATCCTCCCTACCCACAGATGCTTCTCATTCCCTCAGGATCCCTCTGCAGCTCCACGTTTGGAGAGTTAAATCCCACTTTTTCTTGGCTCCAGCTGTTGTTGCTCTGACCCATTTCCCAGGATTGTGTTTTCAGGAGCCTCCTGACCCATTTTTCCCTCCCCTCCAGCTCGTTGCCTAAGAAATGGTGAAATAACCAGGTAGGAATTCCAGCTCCTGGTCCAGTCACTCCCCTCAAAATAATCCCAAAGTTCCTGAGATGGGTTTGGATCCACCAGGAAAAGGTGACAGGGGGAATTGGATGGGAGAGGAGGAAGGAGAACAGGACCAGGGCGAGCTGCCGAGGTGTTTCCACACGTTTTCACGGAAAACAGTTTTTCCAGATTTGCCACCTGAGCCCTGTAGGGATAGGACTCCTCGGACTCGATGCCGCCGTTGTCGATGATGTACTGGAACGCCTCCGTCATGAACCCCCCGGCACAGCCCTTGTTCCCGTACATCCCGGAGCAATCCACCAGGTTCTGGGCGCTCAGCGACACCAAATTCCCGGTTTTCAGCTTCACCTGCGCTTCCAGAGCTCCCACGGCGCTGAAAGCCCAGCAGGCTCCGCAGGCGCCCTGGGAAGGAGCCGGGAGAGGCTCGGGAGCTGAGCCAGCAGCAGCCCGGGGCGAGGCTCACCTGGCTCTGCACCTCACCTGGTTCTTCACCTCGGTCACGCAGCCTTTGTCCCGCCAGTCCAGCGCCTCCGGGATGTCACCGACCGGCCGGGATCGGGGCTGGAATGCGGAATTCCCACGGCGGCGAGGACGAGCCTGGAGCCCCGTCAGCGACGCCGCCACCTCCTCGCTGGTCTGGAGGGGAGGAAAATCGCAGAGGGTGATTCCAGCTCTCTGGGAACCCCACCTGAGAGCTTCGGGTTTGGGGGATCCTCAACTCCTTGTATTTCCAGATTTTCATCAGAAAAGGAAAAGCTCAGCTCCAGCTCCTCAAATCCCTGGATGCTGGGTCATTAAACCCCCCTCAAACTTTAGGACACAGAAGAGGGATGATCCATAAATATCCCAAATGACCAGGAAGGCTTTGAGTGCCCCAAATCCCGCCCCAAGGATTTCCTCACAGAATTCCAGACGGAATGTCCCTGGCTGCTCAGGATGGGCTGAGGGGGATGTCAGGAGTTCTCCCACCCCGATATCCCGGAATTCCAGAGGGCTGGAAGCTGCTCCTTGCACCCACCATGTCTCCCAGGTGGTTCATGCCCAGCGTGTAGGAGCGAAGCCCCAGGGAGTGCTCCAGGTTGTGCAGAGTCACCAGCCACAGGTTCTTCTCCCACGTCAGGCGACGGAGAGAATCCTCCTGGAATTCCAGCAGGGACCTGTGAGAGCCAGGACGGCCCCTCGGAGCCATCCCACCCCAGTTCATCCCAGTAAAGGCTGTTGGGAGCCCCACTTGGATCATCCCTGGGGACTGGCCGTGCTTGGAAGTGCCATCAGATCTTCTCCGACCGGGGGTCACCCCCCAGGAGAGCCCCAGAAAATCCTGGGATATTCCCAGGACACTCCTGGCACATTCCAAGACACCCCCAGGAAACATCAGGATCCCTTGGACACCCCCAGCTCCTCCCTGTGACATTCCCAGGACATTCATTCCCACCTGGGGCTGATATTTCTTCCCGTAGGATTTTTTCCAGAGCTCCCAGTGTCGGTCCAGTGCAGGGTCAGGGTGTCCCAGTGCCAGCACCAGCAGGGCCAGGAGGGTGACAGGAGCCAGCGGCTCCATCCTGGGATTCAGAGTGGGAGAAGTGAGGGCTCGGAGCCGGGATTGACCCCTCGGTGACAAATCCGGTCTGGGCAGGGAGGTGACAACACCCCGGTGACCCGGTGATGCCACTGGTCCGCCCGGACACGCATCCCCAAATTCCCTGGAGGGGAAAATCCGGGAGCCAGCCCCGTGTCCAGGGACAGGCCAGGACACATCGGAGCCGCCCTGGCCTGGGGAACGCTCCTGGCACCTGCTGGGACAAACCCATGCCCGAAAATCCCCAAATTCCCAGAGTTTACCCAACCACTGCCCTCCAGAACGGGATACACCGGCAATCCCACAGCCCAAGTGGAGATCTGGGATAAGACAGACCCCAAATCCCCATAAATCCACTTGTCCCAGAGTTCTACTTCCTCAAAGTGCTCCTAGGCGGGGATTAAATCATCCAACCCACCCGAATTACCTCAGGAAGCTGCTCCGGGGGGATTCCAACACCGGGAGGGCTGGGGAGGGGGATCAGGGACAGAGCCAGGGATGGATCCCAGCGCTGGCACTGCGGGATTTGGGGCTGGCACTGCAGGATTTGGGGCACTCGGCACCGGCGCTGCCGGCAGAAATCACGAGCCAGGAAATGAGGGAACGAGGAACCGAAACCCCGATTTCGAGTTCACTTCAGATCCGGGGTGGGCAGCGGGGCCAGAGTCCCGGAAACCACGCGGGGAGGGAGGAAGGGAGGGAGGGAGGGGGATCGTCCTTCCAGCGTCTCAGAAATCCGGGATGGATTTTGGGAGTTCCAGGTGGGAATGGAGAGAGGACCCAGCCCCGATCTTGGGGGAATCATCCTGGTTATTCCCTCTGAGATGGGAAAATTGGGATGGGAAGAGGATCCAGGTTAGGATCGGGAGACACTGGATATTCCCACTTACTCCAGCCAAACCATAGACAGAAAAGGTTCATCCACGTGGAATTCCCAACCGAGTCCAGCTGGAGGATCCCAAAGGTCCCCACAAGGGACACGAAGATTTGTCCCACCCCAGGGGAAGGAATTCCTTCCCCAGATCCCCGAATCCCACTGTCCCTGCAGCCAAGAACCAGAACTGGCCCATTTTGGGTATTTTATCCAAAATTTATTGGTGGGAAGCGGAGGGGGGCTACAGGGACTGGGTGGAATTCCCGTCTCCGTGGCATCCCGGCACGCTCAGTGCTGCTTCCGCCGGAACGAGCAGCCTGGGGGAGCAAACACAAAACCTGGGAATGCTGCAAGGACTCTGTGTCCATCTGGGAACGCGAATTCCAGGTCTCCCAACCCGAATTTTGCTGCTGAGGGCTCCCAGAGCAATTCCAAACCCCTCTCTGGGACTCCAAACCCCCTTACCAAAATCCCAAATCCCCCCTACCCCAAGGAGGAACTCAGCCCCTCCCAGGGTTCCAACACCCTCCAGTGGGATCCACAACCTCCCCATGCCCTGTTCCCCACCACCCCGGGGTCCCAGAATTCCTCCCAGACCCCCCAGTGCCCTCCCATCCCCACGGAGCATCCCCGGTGCCCTCCACCCCCTGGCGGGTCACCCACCCTCGGTGAGCCGGGCCTTGCCCCCCGTGGGCTGGCACAGCACGGTGGAGCAGCCCACGCAGAGCACCACGGTCTGGGCATGGCTGAACACCGTGGTGATCTTGTAACAACCTGCGGGGGACAACAGAGGACATTAGTCACCGGGGGACACGAAAGGGGGACCCCGGGATACATGAAGGGACACCAAAAGGGACCGCGACACACACGGAGGGAGAGCCCGGCGGGACACAGGGAAGGGCACGAAGAGACACCGGGACAAGGGGAAACACGTGGAGGGACCGCGGGACACGGGGAAGGGCAGCGGGAGAGCGCGGACAAGACCGGGACACACGGAGCGACACGAAGGGACACGGGGAAGGGCCCTGCAAGGCCCTCGGTGCCCACCGGGGCACTTGACGTCCATGAAATAGGAGTTGGGGCTCTGAACCAGCCGCTTCTTCTTGTGCTTGCGCTTCTCCTCCTCGGGAGAGGGGTGCAACAGGTCCTTGGCGAGCTGCGGGGACACCGCGATCGGTCAGTCCTGGAGACACCGCGATCCCCCCCGTTCCCCTCTCCGTCCCCTCACGCCTCTGACGCCATCTTGGGGCACCCCCCTTCAGTCTCCTCGCCCCCAGCGCCCCTCGCGCCCCCGGCCCCGCCGCCTCCCCTGCGCCTTCCCCGAACCCTCCCGCCCCTCGCTGGCTCCGCCGGGCGCGGTCCCGCGGTTCCCTCAGGGGCGGCAGAGCCCGGGCAGGGTCGGGCCGCACTCACAGGCATGGCGGCAGCGGCGTGAGGGGCCGGAAAGGGACGAGTTCAGCCCCGGAACGCCATTTCCGCTGCGGGGCGGCCCCAGGGGCGGAAGTGAGGCGGGGCCAGCTTTGGACTGTGGGGTGTTGACGACATATTGGGAAGGTCGCTCACTTAGCCGCCTTTTGGGACGGTTTTTAAAGTTTTCGTCACCCTGGGGAAGGCTCCTCATTACGGCCATCTGGGACGGTCGTTTTAATTGTCGGAACTTGGGAAGGTGCCTCCTTCTCTGTATGGTCGTTTTTTGTTTCTGCCATTTTGAGAAGGTCCCCGCCTTGCCGCCATCTTGGGGAGGCCGTTACACGTCTACCATTGTGGGAAGGTCATTTGAAACAGCTGCCATCTCGGGAAGGTCATTTTGGGCGTGGCATTCGGTGTAGTGACGTGATACTATTTCGGTGGGTGACGTCACCGGGGCGTGGCGTCACGGCGGAGGGTGGGGCCGCAGGCAGGCCCCGCCCGGGGGGCCGGGCCGGTCCCGGTGGCGGCGGGCGGCGGCGGGGGCCATGGCCAAGGCCTACGACCACCTCTTCAAGCTGCTGCTGATCGGGGACAGCGGCGTGGGCAAGACGTGCCTCGTCATCCGCTTCGCCGAGGACAACTTCAGCAGCACCTACATCTCCACCATCGGTGAGTGGGACCCCGGGAACCCCCCGGGACCCTCCCCCGGGACCCCCCCCCAACTTGGACCCACCGGGATTCACCGGGACCCCCCAACCCGGGACCCACCGGGATCCCCCAATGGGATGCCCCCAACCTGGGACTCTCCGAGACCCCCCGGGAACCTCCGGTGGGACCCTCCCTAACTGGGAAGCTCCGGGATTCACCGGGACCTCCCAATGGCACCCACCGGGATTGTCCGGGACTCTCCTGCTGGGACCCCCATCCTGGGACCCCTCCGGGATGTCCCAGCCGGGATTCACCGGGACCCCCCTCCCTGAAATCCCCCGGGACCCCTCCCAGAACCCTCCACCCCGGGACCCCACCGGGACTCCCTCCCTGGGACCCACCGGGGCCGCCATCCCGGGATTCAGCCGGATCGGCGTCCTGGGACTCAGCAGGAACCCCCAAATCCCCCGGACCCCTCACCGTGCGGTCCCCACCCTGGAGCTCACCAGAACCCCCCACCGGGACCCACTGGGACCCCACCGGGACCCTACCGTGACCCACCGGGACCTCGGTTCTTCCCAGGAACCTCCAGCCCGGAACGCCCCGGGATTCCCCTTCCAGAACCCCTCCTTCCCGGATTTTGCCCCCTCCCTTTCCCGGGGAGCCAGATGGTTACTGGGCGCCGGGACGCCGGCACTGGGAGCACTGGGAGCACTGGGAGGGGACCGGTTCCGTTCCCCACTTCCAGTGCCCCCCATCCTTTTCCCCAGGGATCGACTTCAAGATCCGCACTGTGGATATCGATGGGAAGAAGATCAAGCTGCAGGTCTGGTGAGTTTTGAGGGAGAGGGGGGTCAGAGGAGGGGTGGGAGACCCCCAAATTCCCCCCAGAATTCCCAAAACCGCCTCGTTTCCGCAGGGACACGGCAGGACAGGAGCGCTTCAAAACCATCACCACGGCCTATTACCGCGGAGCCGTGGTACGGGGAGGGGGCTGCAGCCCCAGGGGGGGTCCTGGGGGCGAGGACCCCACCCCAAAACCGCGGGCAGGGGGTCCCGGCCCTCCCCTGACCCCCGATCCCCCCAGGGCATCGTCCTGGTGTACGACATCACGGACGAGAAATCCTTCGAGAACATCCAGAACTGGATGAAAAGCATCAAGGAGGTGGGTGGGGAGATTTTGGGGGTGCGGCGGGGGTCGGGGTCGGATCGTGGGGGTCCTGCCCGTGTTTCCCCCCCTCCCCAGAACGCCTCGGCCGGGGTCGAGCGGCTCCTCCTGGGCAACAAGTGCGACATGGAGGGGAGGCGGAAAGTGCAGCGGGACGCGGCCGAGAAGGTGGGAGGGGGCTCGGGGGGTGTCGGGGGGGCTCTGTGGGGCTGGGAGGGAGCCTGGAGGGGTCCATGGGGCTGGGATTGGGGGAGTTCTGTGGGGCGGGAGGGTCTGAAGGAGTCTGGGGGCGGCTCTGGAGCTGGGGGTCCTGGAGGGGCTCTGGGGGCTGGGGGATCCTGGGGGGCTCTGGAGTTGTCCGTGGGGCCGGGACTGTGGGGGCTCCGTGGGACCGGGGCTGTCTGTGGGACTGAGGGGGGTCACAGGAGGGTTGTGGGGGGCTTCGTGAGATTGGGGGGGGGTCACAGAGGGCTGGAGGGGCTCCATGGGGATCACAGGGGGGTCGGGGTCCCTCAGCTGGCGAAGGAACACGGGATTCGCTTCTTCGAGACCAGCGCCAAGTCCAGCGAGAACGTGGAGGAGGTAAGGGGGGGGGTCCCGGGGCGGAGGGGCTGCACCCCCAGATTTGGGGGGACTCTTCCCCCGCCCTGAGCAGCCCCTGTCCCCCCCAGGCCTTCCGCACGCTGGCACGGGACATCCTGCACAAATCCTTCCGGAAAGCCGTGAGTGGGGCCGGGATTGGAGGGCGAGGGGGCAGGCGAGGGACCCCCTGCGCCCCCCCTGACCCCCCCTGTGTTCGCAGCCCCCCGGCAGCAGCAGCAGGGCCCTGCTGGAGCCCGGGCCCCCCCGAAAGGCCGGCGGGAGATGCTCCCTGGGATAGGGGCTCGGGACCTCCCCGAGACCCCCCCGGGGCAGCGCAGGCGCCTCTCCGGAGGGATCTGGGGGGAAATTTGGGGGGGATTTGGGGCTGCCCCCCCTCCCCCTTCCTTGTGCCATAAAGCCCCGCTGTGCCTTGTCCCGGCTCCGGAGTCTCTTTGAGGGGGGTTTGGAGGGGACGGAACCGGGTCGGGTTCGCGATCAGGGTCGGGATCAGGATCGCGATTGGTATCGGGACCGGGGTCGGGATCGGGACCGGGACCGGGACCGGGATCGGGACCGGGACCGGGACGAGCGGCGAAGAGCGCACGCCCACAACTCCAAACTTGGCCCAGTACCACGCCCACTCTTATAATCACGCCCCTATATCCTGCATATTTCCACCCCTAATTAAACATAAACCACGCTCCTAATTAAATATAAGCCACGCCTCTAATTAAGTATAAACCACGCCCTTAATTAAGCATAACCACGCCCATAAAGTTCAATCCACGCCCCTTTGCTCCCTTCAAGCCCCGCCCCTCTTTCCCATTGGCTGAGCCCGGCGCCCCCGCCAGGCCCCGCCCATCCCGTTCCGGTACCCCCGGCACTTCCAACATGGCGGCGCCGCCGTCGCGGCGGGGCCGGGCCCGGTAGTTCCCGGAGGATCGCGGGGGTTCCTGGGGATTTTCGGCGGATCCCGGCTCCCCGATGGGGCCTGGCGGCCTCGCGGTGCTGCTGGCGGTGCTGAGCGCGGTGCCGGGCGGGCTGCGGTGAGCGGGGACCGGGGGAGACCGGGAGGAGGGAGGGAGAGGCGGGCCCGGTGCGGGGCCCTCACGGCAGCGCCTCTGTGCCCACAGGCCAGCGGCGGCGGCGGCGGCGGCGGCGAGCGAGGAGCGGCCCGGTGAGCAGGGCCGGGCCGGTGTTGGGGACGGTCCCGGGGGGCTCGGGCCGGGTCTGGGAGGCTCGGACCGGGATTGAGGGGCTCAGACCGGGATCTGGGGGGCTCGGACCGGGATAGATCCGGGGCTGGGAGGCTGAGACGGAGGAGATCTCCGGTATCGGGGGTCTTGGTCCGCGTCTGGGGCTCTGTCCGGTCCCTCATAACGCGCTCCCCCGCAGCGAGCCCCGCGGTGGCCACGCCGTGCTGGCGAGTGGAGCAGTTCGTGGTTGCCCAGGAGTGCACGCGATGCTCCGGCTTCGAGATGGTGAGTGCGGGTCCCCAGGGGTCCCCCCCTTGCCCCGGGGGTCTCTCCCTGACCGACCCCTCCGTTCCCCCGTTGGTAGAAGACGATCCCGGCCTGCGGCTCCACCGGCTTCATCGAGAGGATCAACTGCGCCTCGTCCCACCGGGATGAGTACAAGAGGTGGGATCGGGGCCGGGAATTCCTGGGTGGATCTGGGCTGGGAATTCCGGGGGGATGGCGACTGGGAATTACCGGGGGATCGGGGCTGGAAATTATCGGGGCTGGGAATTACCGGGGGATCGGGACTGGGAACTCCCAGGGGATCGGGACTGGTCATTCCTGAGGAATCGGGACTGGGAATTCCCGAGGAATCGGGGCTGGAAACTCCTGTGGGATCGGGGCCAGTGCTTCCCGGGGGATCGGGGCCGGTCCTTCCCGGGGGATCGGGCATTCCCACGGGCTGTGCTCCGCAGCTGCCGCTCGGCCGCGCTGGAGGCGCAGCGGTTCTGGCGCTTCGTGGGCTCCGCTCTGGGCGTGGCGGTGGCGGCGGCGGCGCTGGTGGTGCTGCGGCAACGCGTGCTGGACCGGCGGGCGCTGGAGAAGGTCCGCAAGCAGATCGAGTCCATTTAGCCAGAGGCTCCCGAGGGGTTGGAGCCGGGAATTCCGCTCACCCGGAGCGGCCGGAGGAGAAGCAGCCTCTGCCTTGCTGCCCGGACCTGGAATCCTGCTGGGATCTGCCTTGGGAGAGCATCCAAGGGATCCCCCGGAGCAGGATGTGGAATAAATCCTGGTCACTGCTCCCGGAGTGAGCTGTGTTCGTCCCTTGGGGGGAATCCCCGTCCTCCCAGCACTGGGATTTGCTCTGGGATCATCCTGGGTGTCCCCAGGGTTCCACTCCAGGAGAGGGATGTGGAATAAATCCTGGCCATCGTTCCTGGAGCGATGCTGTGTTTGTTTCTTTGGGGGGATCCCTGTTTCCACCAGCACTGGGATCTACCCTGGGAACCCACCCCAGGAGCAGAATGTGGAATAAATCCTGATTAATGTCGCTGGAGCAGCACTGCAATGTTTGTCCTTTGGGGGTTGCCCCCCATTCCCGATCCCCCGACATTCCACGGGGTGCAAACAGAGTGTGAATTTATTCTGGAGTGTTCCCCCATCCTGAGGTCTCCCAGTCACATCTCATCCCCACGTCCCCGTGTCCCCGTCCCTACGTCCTGCCTGGAGGAATTGCTCCCTGGATCCCTCTGGGGGGCGGGAATCCCATCCCAAGGCTCCCCCCCGGCTCCATCCTCCACACTGGATCCCGGCTCTGGCCCCGACGTCCACCCCGGTAACGGGGATTCTGCGGCCGGTTCCGGCTCCCGCCGGGTCAGGATGTTCCTGGAGATCACTGCGGGAACAGGGAATGGGGTGGGCAGCGCTGGGGAGGGGAGGGGGAGCTGCCCCCACCCCTAATCCCGGCGCTCCCGTTACCTCCGGTGGGTCCGAGGCCGTCCGGGCTGCCGCCCCGGCGGAACGGGCTGGAGTTGGGCAGCAGGATCAGCCCCAGCGACAGGAACAGGATCTGCGACAGGAGAGGGATGGGAGCCGTGAGCCCTGGAGCGGGGCCGGGGGAGGGTCCCGGGAGGGTCCCAGAGAGGCCGTACCAGGACACAGGTGCCGGTCTGGGCGGGCTTGGTGGACGTTTCCTTGATCAGCGCCTGGAGCTGCCGCAGGAGAGACCTGCGGGAACGGGGGTCAGCTCCGTGCCCATCCCGGTGTCCCTCCCCGGTGCCCCATCCCGGTGTCCCCCGTGCCCACCCCGGTGTCCCCCGCGCCCACCCCCGCACTCACCCGTTGCTCTTCTCCAGCTCCTGGACCTTTTTCCGCAGCTCCTGGTTCAGTGCGGAGCACGCGGCCGCCCTGCCCGGACAGAGACAGGGACAGTGATGGGGACGGGAGACACACCTGGGCACGTCGGGATAACGGGAACATCGGGAAGGGGTCGGGATAACAGGAACACCGGGATAACCGGAATACCGGGATAACGGGAACGCCGGTCCCACCTGCTCTCCAGCCCGTCCAGGTATTCCTTCTTCCTCCGCCGGCTGTCCTGCGCCGACTGCTTATTCCGGATCTTCCTCCGCACCTTCTTCAGGAGCCGCTCCTCAGCCTGGGGCACGGAGGGGTCACTCCTGTCCCCCCCCCGGCCCTCCCGACCCCCCGTGTCCCCGCACGCACCTGGGTGAGGGGCAGGTCCCCGGGCAGGGTCACCCCCTCCTGCGCCAGCAGCCGCTTCTCCTCCTCCGTCAGCCGGAGCTGCGGGACAGGGATGGACTGGAGGCTCTGGGGGTGAACTGGGGGGGTCCGGGGATGAGCTCGGGGGGGTGCAGAGACTCACGGTGGGCAGGGGCTCGGGCTCGGGGTGAGGGCACAGCTCGATGCCGGGGAGCAGCGTGGGGTACAGGGGAGTGCTGAGGTCACAGACCACCTCCAGCAGCACCGGGGGGGCCCCGTCGGGCCGGGGGGGCTCCGGGCTGGTGCCGAGGCCGCAGGCGATGTCGGGGTTCACCGTCAGCCCCAGCAGCTCCTCGGCTCCGCTGCCCTGCAGGGATACCGGGACACGTGAGGGGATCCCCGGGACATCCCGGTGTCCCCGTGGGGGTCCTGCCCACCCGCGCCGCTCCCACCCCCACTCACATCATCCTCCGGGAGCGTCAAGGTCTGGAAGCCCAGTACCGGCACCAGGAGCGAGGGGGGATCCGGGAAGGGCCCGTCCAGCTCCGGGAGCTCCGGTGCCTCCATAGGAATTCCCTGGGGACCCCCCGCGGGATCCCTCGTGCCTCGACTCCCGGGAATGGACCCCCTGCGCCCCCTCCTCGGGGTCACCACCACGGGCCCCGGTGGTGCGGCCGCCTCCGCCCGGTGCCGGCGCTGGGCACCAGGATCTCCGGGATCCCGGGGAATCCAGCCAAGTCCCGCCCCGTGCCGGGAAGGGCCGGTATCATCCCTCCCCCAGCGGGGCTCGGGGCTCCGGCCGCCCTACCGGGGCACCAGGGGCATCGGGGGGCGTGCGGCAGCCCCCGTACACGTCCCGGAGGGTCTCGCGGGGGCACTGGGCAACGGGGCCGGACCGGGGGCAGCTCCGCTGCGGCCGCCGGTGTCTCTGGACCGGAGGCGGTGCCCCCCGCAGCCCCCGGTAACGGAGTTCGAGGGCGGAGGAACGGGGGGATGCCCCCGGTAACGGGGCCCGGGAGTGCAGGATCGGGGGGATCCTCCCGGTAACGGGGTGCGGGAGTGACACGGCGGGGACACGGAGAGTTCCCCCGCCCTGCCCGGCCGAGCGGACACGTGCGCGCTCCCGGGGCCGCGGGGCCGCGCGGACCCCGCTCGCTCTCCATTGGACGCGGCGCACGTCAATCAGCGACACCACGGGGGGTTCCGCCTCACTATTGGCTGGGCTGGCGGCCCCGGCCCCGCCCCCCGGAGTTCCCGGGACGCGGTTGGGATGCGGCGAGGGGTGAGTGCGGAGGAACGGGGGGAACGGGGGGAACGGGAGGGAACGGGAGGGAACGGGGCGTCCCCGTCCTCGGTCTCGGCCCTCCGTCCCTGTCCTCGATCCCAGTTCCGATCCTGGTCCCGGAAAAGCCGACCCCTGACTCCCGATCCCGGTCCCGGTTCGCAATCTCGGTTCTTGGTCGTGGTTCCAGTCCCTGTCCTTGATCCCGATTTCCGTCGTGGTTCCCGGTCGCAGTCCTTGATCTCTAACGCGGTCCGTGGTCTCCAGTGCCCCATCCCGGTCCCGGAAAAAACAGTTCCCGATCCTTGATTCCGGTCCTGGTGCAGGAAACCTGGGTCCTGATCCCGGTCCTGGTCCTTGATCCCAGTCCCAGTCCTTGATCCCGGTCCCGGTCCTTGATCCCGGTCCCGGTCCTTGTTCTCACTCCGGGTCCCTCCCCGCCGCCCTGTCCGTGTCCCGGGGGCCCCGGGCGGGGGGGTCGGCGCCGGGTGAGTCACTGGGGCCGGGGGGCGGCTCTGACCGGCCCGTCCCGTTCCAGCCCCGCTTGCCGGGGATGCGCAGCGCGGCTCGGAGCTTCCCCGGCGTCGGGCGCTGAGCTCCGGGAGCACGATGGACACCGGCATCGGGGCCGCGCTGGCCTGGAGCCCCGGGGCGGCCTCGCAGCCCCCGCCCGGGCTGGGGGTGAAGTTGGGCTCGCTGGTGCTGCTGCTGCTGCTGCCCCTCGCCTGTGGCCTAGCGCCCCTCTGGTGCTTCCGACAGCCCCCCGGTACCGGGGGTCAGGGGGCTTGGGGGGTCTCAGGGGTTCGGGGAGTTCGGGACATCCCGGGGAGTGGGGGACTCAGGGGTTCAGAGGGTTCTGGGGAGGCTGCGGGGGGATCTCAGTGATTTGGGGGAGGCCTGAGGGGTTTTGGGGGTGTGGGGGACCCCTGAGGGGATCGTGGAGTTGGGAGAGGCTGGGGAGTCTTGGGTAGTGGGGGGGTCTGGGGGGTTTTGGGGGCTCATGGAGTTTGGGGGTCTCAGGGTTCTGGGGAGTCTGAGGGTGTCCCTAGGGTCTGTAACAGGCTGGGATCAGAGCTGTCCCCACCTCAGGGCTGTCCCCAAGGGGCCTCTCAGGGTGCAGGGCTGAGGGAGGGGTCTTGTTGGGGTCTCAGCCCCCCGATTTCTTCCCCAGACCCCCGCAGCCCCATGCTCAGCCTCGTGAGCTGCTTCTCCGGCGGGGTTTTCATGGGCACCTTCCTGCTCGACCTCCTGCCTGACTACCTGGGCAGCATCGCTGCGGCGCTGGAGGGGCTGCGCATCACGGTGAGACCCCCCGGGACGCCACCAGGCGCCTGTCCCCGTACCTGTCCCCATGGGTGTCCTTGTCCCCACGGGTGTCCCTGTCCCCACGTGTGTCCCTGTCGCCAGGATCAGAGTCAGCAGCTGCGGCTACTGGGAAAGGGGCTGGTGAAAGGGGAGGGGGTGGCTGGGATGGGGACAGTGAGGATGGGACAAGGACACAGGATGGACACTGCAGGGGGGACATGGAATGGGGTGCAGGGGTGACGACAGCGAGGATGGAACAACAGAGGAGACAGTGGAAACAGGGACAGCAGGGCCAGACCGGTGCCAGTGGAGCAGCCAGAATGGTGACAACATCCCCAGAGCCACCAGGAACCCCTTGTGTCCCACATGACTCATGGAAAGATCCTCCCCCTGCCAACAGCTTCCCCTTCCCCGCTGACCCGTGCCCTTCCCGCAGCTCCAGTTCCCTCTGCCGGAGTTCATCCTGGCCATGGGCTTCTTCCTGGTGCTGGTGCTGGAGCAGGTGACGCTGGCACAGCGCGAGCTGTCGGAGCCCACCGAAGAATCGCGGGCGCTGCTGCCCAACGGCTCCATCCAGGCCGCGGTGCCCGGCGGGCCCGGAGGCTCGGTGGGCTCGCCGGTGCCGGTGGCCGGTGGTCCCGGTGCTCTGCGTGCCGGGGCGCTGGCGCTGGCGCTGGCTCTGCACGCGGTGCTGGAGGGGCTGGCGCTGGGGCTGCGTGAGGGCGACGCGGCCGCGCTGAGGGTGCTGCTGGCCCTGCTGCTGCACAAGGGCGCCGTGGCCTTCGGGCTCTCGCTGGAGCTGCTGCGGAGCCGCCTGCGGCCGCCCGTGGTGGCCTCGTGCCTCGTGCTCCTGGCCCTCATGTCCCCACTGGGCGTCGGGGTGGGCACGGTGCTGGCGGCGGGCGCGGGCCCGCGGCAGCGCCTGTGCCGGGCCGTGCTCGAAGGGCTGGCGGCCGGCACCTTCCTCTTCGTCACCTTCCTGGAGATTCTGCCCCAGGAGTTGGGGGTGCCCCAAAATCGCATCCCCAAGGTCATCCTGATCCTCGCCGGCTTCGCGCTGGTCAGCGCCATCCTCTTCGTCAAGGGATGAGATTCCCACCCAGCGCGGGATCCACGTCCGCGGAGAATCCCACGGAATTCATCTGTCCCCCTGCGTCCTCTTTTCCAAAGTGCCAAAGTGCCTCTCCCATCCCCGTGCCTCAGTTTCCCTCTCCAAACTATCCTCTTCCTCAAGGGGAGACCGCGCCTGGCCTGGGATCCCCCATTCTCGCTCCTGGAATTCACATCCCACCCTGCACCCCCTTTTCCCAAGTGCCAAAGTGCCTCTCTCAGCGCTGTGCCTCAGTTTCCCCATCTGCACAAGGGATCGGTGCTGTGACCCCCCCCTCAGGAGCCCGGGAGGGGGTGAGTGTCCCCCCCCCCCTCCATAACCACAAGTGCCCTTACGGACTCCCCCGAATTTGGGGGTGTCGGATGAAGCAAATAAAGGACTGAACCCAAAAGCTCTGCCTCTGCCTGGGGAGGGTGGGAATGGATGGAATTTGGGGTGTGTGCCATAGCGTCCCCCCCTCACCCCCCAGGATATATGGGCTGGGGGAGTCTGGTTCCCGCTAATTTTGGGTAAGGGGAGGTGTGTGCTCTGTACCCCCCAAGCTCCCCCATTTCAGGGTCCCTCCATCCTCCTTCCCCTCACAGCCTCAGGCCACGCCCCTCCCCATGGCCGCGCCTCTTTTCCCTCCCCGCGCTCCCTCACTGCGCGGTGGCCTCTGGGGCTTGTAGTTTCCCCCTCCCTCACCACCCAGTATCTCGTAGCCCGGCGCCTCCATTCCCCAGCACTCCCTGCATAGCGCCCGCACAAACCTCTGGGAGTTGTAGTCCAGACACCCAGTCCACCCTGTTGTTGGCCCTGCCTGCTGAACTACAGACCCCGGCGTGCCGCGCGCAGCGGCGGCGGCGGAGCGGTGGAGCGGGGAAGATGGCGGCGGCGGGCGCGGGGGCCGGGCCCGGGCCCGGCGCGGGACCCTCGGCCGGCGCCGGTGCGTCCAACCCGCGCAAGTTCAGCGAGAAGATCGCACTGCAGAAGCAGCGGCAGGCGGAGGAGACCGCGGCCTTCGAGGAGGTCATGATGGAGATCTGCTCCACACGGGTGAGGACGGGCCGCCGCGCCGGATGCGCCGCGGGGCGGGGGGGG